CGTCGTCACGGATGCGCACATTCGCGTGTATGGTATTCAAGCCCAGCGCAGGCCCAGACAGACATGGACCAGGCTAGCGAGTGTCCTTCGACTGGCAGCTTGCACCCTTCTCCGGATCCACACGCGCCTGCCATTATGTGCTCGCCAGATATAGTACGCCATCCGAAGGTTGTACGACGGGGAGAGGCGATGCGACGGGATTGGATTGCCGATGGAGGCGCCGGGTACACTCACAAGTCGTTGAAGGGGAACAACTTCGCGATACCACCGAGGACCACGAATACGGCAACGGCGAAATTCACCATGCGACTACAGGCCCAGTTAGCTTTGATCTTCGACACTCCCAAGTCCCAATGGCTCTGCGGAAAGCTGCTGCCTAGCTTCGGGACAGCTTCGCACAGCTCGAGCTCGACTCACAAGATGTCTGAGAAATCCATGGCGGACGATTGACCGGCGAGGTGTGGGAACCGCACTTTGACGACTGGGCGCAACGGATTGGGGCGGAGGCGGATGGGACGAGATGGAAGATGCAGCTGGTTGTGATAGAGCTCGCGGGTACGGTTGGTGCTGCGCAATGTCGGCTTGCGACGAGACGTTGCAAGGGAACCACAGCCAAGCTCCCGCGCTAAACGTCATACCCGCTCTCATTGGCCGACGCGCGACCAAGGGGTTCTTCCAGGTTCAACACTGCCCGTGTTTTGTCTTTCAACATATGCCCTTTGGTAGTTCAGTTGCTTGAACATTCATATCTTTCTTGAATAGTCATCTGGCTTGCAATTTGAACTGATGTACAGAGTCACCAAGTAGTGGCACTGCATACATGGAAGCCCTGGAGAGCTGGGAGTTACTTGTTGGACCTGGTGTCCTCTCCACATGGCCTTCAGTCTTTGCCCGCTTGCGCGCTGCACATGACATTTTCGTATTCCTAGGTCCTCGCTGATGTATGTTTTTGCTGGTTAGTCTGTCACGAACCAGGTTCGAGCAGGAGTATCTCCAGCTTTTTTTTGCCCTTTTTTTGCACTTCATGGGGGGTGACTATCAACAAATGCGTGATAAGTGAGCCTGTACAAAATGTGAGTGTCTGCGAGATGCGCCTGACTCCAAATGGTATCTCCAGTTTTTACCATCTTCCGCGTCTTCGACATCTCCAGTTAATGCGAGCATTGTATGCTCTTTCTGACCCACCACTGATTTCCTGAGTTTTTCCTTGCGACAACAACTGACTATATTGGCAGTCCATCAACGGCTAAGTAGGAGTACACCGCCTCATCACAGTGTCTGCGAAGTTTCGTCAATACCGCATTAGCAGAGCTTGTATGCTATATATCCTTCACAATTACCAGGACTCGCCAGCATCCTAAACCTACTGCATTTATTGGTTTGCTATAAAAAGAAGGGAATGTCGACATACCGCCTGCATTAGCATATCCGTGAACCTGGCTCAAGACAGCAGTGTTCCATGAAAGTTTCGATCCCTTTTCGCCATGGTATCGAGTTGTTCAATGGCAATCGCGCCCTGCCGCGCCGTGCTGTACCATTGTTGGAAGCAGGCTAAGCACAAGCCTACCTAACGACAGGCCCTCGCACTCGGCTCCACGTGTACGGGACGTGAGGCATCGGGTACGCCTGCATTGCGTCAAAGTACTAACTCGGCCAGACCCTTGATACAGTTTGAGGCTCCTCAGAGGACAGTTGGGCTCGTCCGCGCCCAGCAGAACTAACTCTCAGTCTACAGTCTAGTTTATACGCCACAAGATTACGTGCAATGTTAGCATACAACGAGCAGCCTTTTCGACTGGGAACCCATTCTTTCAAAAGATCGTATAGATCCGGTAGGCTAAAGTGGATCGTCTGGCCGCATACTTCACGCGATTCATGCGTACCTGACAGGTCGTCCCTAGCTTGGACGAATTCATGGAATGGTGGTAATGTACTAGGGCGGAAGAGTCCATGAACATGCTACGAGCGGGTGTCTGACGGCTACTAAAGCAGCCGTAGTGCCGTTCCTGCATGGAAAACGATGTGGTCTGATCTGACGATGGTGTACATTTGATGGGGGTAAGAGCAATCGAGTCGGTGACTCCGAAGTCGAATTGCTCCACACACTCGTAGACATAATCAATGTAATAACGAGAGTTCCTTCAATATGCGTTTCCTCCGCTTTGGACTCGATGTCGTAATCTTCTTCTTATAGTCGCCCTCCAATGACCAAAGTATCTGGCAAGCCTCGGCATGAGCAACCGCATTGGGGCTGTTGATCGCGTATAGAGTTTCTTTGCCACCTCTCGTCTCCCTTCGTACAAGATCCCTACTAGAGCCGTTTCGCGATTGGACAGATGTCGTACGGGTACCGATATAGAGTAGCTGTAGTGGAAGCGCGAGGCGTTGACGTGAGCGGACTCCCCAACCATGCAGCGCGCTAGCGAAGCGGCAGGAACCACCGTTCGGGGCTTACTCCGCGCGGAGACGGCCACCACAAGAACGCGCCACCAGATCAGCATAACCCGGGTCACACTACATGTGGAGAGCACGTTTCGGAAAAACTGAGACGGTTACTACGATATCAAATGGAGGGCGATGCCACCTTGAAGCGGTTAGAAGCACGCGAGACTTCTACCTCACCATCTCGATCTGGCTGTTCTAGGGTGGAAATAGAAACGAATTGCGCATGATCGCATAAACTGCGCGACATCGTTAGTTCACGTCCCGATATCCCCTTGGGCCTTAGCACTGCCTCGGCTGGTCTGTGACGTTTGGACTGGACCGTCGAAGTTTAACAAGCCAGCTCCATGTAGGGTACCGGCCTAGCCCATGTGTCCAAAATCCTTGGGCGCAGGTGTTAGCGACTTCAGCACAACATTCTTCGATGCGTTCAGTATGCTATACAGCACACATGCAGCTACAAGTCTACTCCTTCCAAGAAACGTTTGGAATGGGATGCGCAGGTGGCAGTCCAGCTGAACACGGAACCGTTGGACGACGTTGAGGGGTGCGGCTCCTCTGGTTGGGAGACTCAAGGGTACCGCACATTTAAACTTTGTTAGCACGCAACGCTGCAGGAAGCCACGAGGCGGATCGGATCAGCCATACCAAGGCCTTGTAGCATATATACAAATCGCGGCCTTGCAAGCGGGAACGCCCCTTTGCTGGAACGTTGATTCCTTCTTTGTTCCCACCTCTTGCCAGACGACTTCGACTTGGATACTGTGTGTCGCTGGACGAGACGAGACATGAGATGGCCGCTGTACCTACTACTGGTCCTCGCGGCATGGGCCTCGATCGGGGTGGCACAGGACGCCGCCGCGCTCAAGGCGATCGGCTCGCTTCCAAGCTGCGCGGTATGTAACAGCCAACATGGGTCGAATGATATGTTGCTAATGGTTGTAGCAATTGTGCCTGGCGACAGCTGTAGTTGAATCACCCTGCCAGCTTTCGGATAAGCAATGCGTATGTGCCAACGCTAAGCTTCAGAGTGCAGCGGAAAAATGCGTAATTTCGACGTGTACGGTGAAGGAGAGCTTGAGTAAGTCAATTCGCCGCCATACCCTGAAAATTTGCTTACAACACTCTCCCAGCCACCAAGAACGTAACTTCAGCTCTCTGCGACGTGCCTGTTCGTTCGGAAATTACCCATTTACGCGTGGCAAACATCGTATTGGCCGTAGTGACAGGCTCCTGCATCATCTTACGCTTTGGTTACCACATGTTTTTCCACGTCAATGGGCTTAATTGGGACGACTTCCTCGTGATAGCTACGGTGGTTCTAGCCGTACCATCTGTCGTTATTGTCGACAGGTGTATGCTTCCGAATGGCATTGGTATCGACATTTGGAACGTTCCATTTGACCACATCGATAACTTTATACGATGGCTCTACGTCGTCACTCTACTATACCTCCTCCAGGCTGCCTTGGTCAAGATTACGCTCCTTTCCTTCTTCCTACGGATATTCCTCAGACGGCGAACAGTACAGCTTTTGTGGGGGACTATCATCTTTATTGGATTATGGACCTTCTCCATTTTCATTCCCGCCGCGATGCCATGTCTACCGGTACGTCAAGATCACTCACGAGGTGTACGGTACACCAGCTAACTTCGTCCTTGGCAATGTAGGTTAGTGATTTCTGGACGGGATGGGACATGGAAAGACCAACAAAATGTCTCAACATGGATGCGGTAGTATGGATGCATGCCATCATAGGCATTGTGTTGGACCTCTGGATGATAGCCATTCCTCTATACGAGGTCTATCATCTCCAGATGACATGGGTGAAGAAGTTCGGCGTGGCATTGATGTTCTCTCTTGGTACCTTGTCAGTGCGCCTGCAGCCCACATCACATCATTTAGCCTCAAGCTTACATTTCTGCAGTGTCACAGTAGTCTCCATCCTCCGCCTGAAGTCGCTCTTTTTCTTCGACGGGGACAACAACTATACATGGAAGCAAGCGAAAGTCGTCCTGTGGTCCATGTACGAGCTCCACGTCGGAGTAATCTGCGCCTGCATCCCGACTCTCCGCCTGATCTTCATCCGCGCAATCCCTTCGGTCATCAGCTCGATACAAGGAAGCACCCAGCGAAGCAGCGCGAACGGAAACGGCAGTAGAAGAAGTCGTGGCACAACTCAGAACTTAGACACGTTGAGAAGTGACAGAGGTGGGAAAGAAGGCCTGGCCGTTGAACCCAACACGATTACATACACCAGGACCTTTGCAGTCCGGCACGAGGAAAACGACGAGGAGGTCGAACTTGTCCATATGGAGGATTTAAGTGAAAAGACGTCGAGGGAACGAGGTGGAAGCTATGCTAGTGAGCTGAGCTTATAGCTACATCTTAATGAGACGTCATAGTTTGGGTCCACGAGCCATCGCCAAGTTCATACCTAACACCCCAATTGGTAATATACTCAACTTGGGTAAGCTATGAGTGGCGCATCTTATTTGAACTAACCCAAGACGCGTCCCAGAGATGTCCGCAGTTCCCCGCATCATCAGCATATCAATCACATCGGATCCAAGTCCAAACCCGCAGGCCAACTTTCGTCTCTCGTCCTTTGCCCGTAGAGATGTTCCACGAATCGCTTTGATGCCATGAAACCATTCTTCTCAGCAAACCGTCGAGCCCGCTCATACTGACTTTCGGGAGGCTCACCAAACTGCGCATCGAGGTTGGTGTTCCACTGCATCAAAAGCGACATCGTGTCGATATGACCCCACTCTGCTGCTGCTTCGAAAGCTGTTCGCCCATCGCCCTTGGCCGGCGGGTAGTTCGGATCGGCCCCGTGCTCGAGCAGAAACGCTGCAATGCCGCAGAACCCTGTCATGGCAGCTAGTTGCAACGCGGTACCGCCAGAGTATACTGGAACTGTATCGATGATGGCACCCTGGTTGACGAGGCACTCCACGATGTCGAAGCTACCCGTCTCGGCGGCTCTTTGCAGAGGTGTGCGGGTAACACCCATGTTGCGTGTGTACTGTAGCTCTGCCCCGTGCTCCACCAATATCTTGACCAGGGGAAGGCTTTGTACGTCGATAGCGGCTAGTAAGGGAGTGACTCGCTGTATGGGGCTCTTGATGTGTTCCAACATCTTCGAGCCATCCAAGGATACGTATGCATTTGGACTGGCGCCATGATTTAACAAGACCCGAACGACTTCGGTATCTTTCGCAATGATTGCTTCGCCGAGAGGGCTGACTGCAGGTTTCCCTTTCACTAATTCTTCGTTGAATAGCTCGAATTCATCAATGTATATAACGCCACACAGAATGTCGATCCGATCGATGTCGCGGTAACGAATTGCTTGGCGAAGTGCCGCGACACCATAGCTTCGTTTAAGTGAAGACTTCCCCGCTTTTGCTGCGTCTAGAAGAAAATGCACAGTGGTGACAGTCGCCCTCGACTTGATCGCCTGTAACAATGCCCTGGAATCGATAACAGAGACACCGTTAGCTTCAAGGACCTTCATCCAATCTATGTTGTTCCCCTCAGCCGCGACGGCGAGAAGAGAGGGCAACGTATAGCCATCATCAAAATATTGCGTGCCTATGCCCTCAGGAAGAGAGCAATGCAACCCTGGGCCTTTTCTGATCTGAAGCCCATCCAAAAAGTCTACATAGAGCTCGTCGGGATCCATGCCAACGTGTAGCAGCCATTGGCATAATTCGTAGTCGTTCGTTGCCATGCAATAATGAGCAACAGTTCGGAAACAAAGCTGAAGGTCGTCCTGCTCCAATACCACATGTTCCCCCTCTACGAAATAGATGAACGGGACCCCTAAGCCGTGGAAAAACATCGTCTCTAAGGGCCCATAATCCTTGTGCACACTCGCAGCTTTCAATGCATGATTCCAAATCGGATTCCTTTTTAAGAGGGTACTGACTGCCATGATCTGACCATGACTCAGTAGGATGGTGAGACCTTTTGTGCTCCAGTAGGGCTCATCCTCGATGATGGTGCTAGCCATTGCAAAGTCACGGTGATTGATCGCGAGTTCGACCATTTCGTGTGCAAAGGCCATTTTGACGTGGTTCGGACTCATTGGGGTATACAGATAGAAAGCAAGTCTTAGATCGTTCTTTCCAATGGCATGTCGAAGCTGTGATCTTTGCTCGTTCGTTGTATCATAAACCATGACTGAGTTTGCCATAGGCCTTTTTGCTATCATCAAAGCCGCTGCAAGAATCCAGTTGGTGTTGTTGAACGCGTCCAGAATTGAGGTGTCCATGAAGCCAGGCGCGCCGAGATCGCCTACGTAAGCGTCTCCGTCGTTGAGTTGATAGCCCAGATAACTGATTGCTTCCAGAATCATCTCCACGTTCCGTTTATTGGTCTGACGGACAGCAGCGTGGAGTGCGCCCAACATTGCCGTCTTGGGTCTTGGGTCTGTCATCGGCAGATAGTGCTGTTTGTCATACACAACAAATTGTAGAACGTCCCTAGCCAAGGACATTTGGACTTCTTGTCCCTGCTCGTAACTATGATGCGCGAAATATTGTTCAAGCAGGCCTGCTTCCAGCCATGCGGAGATCCCTGCCGTTGAAGCTTCTATCAGCTGCTTCAGAGATGCCACGGAAACGTTATCATATCTATGTTTTAGGTATTTCCGATGTGGCCTAGCCCCAGCGCGAAGAGTGATACACATCAATTTTGTGGTTTCTGATCCGCTAAGTCTGGCACAGTGTTCAGAGGGGAAATACCGGCTTGACTTTTCTCCGGCAAGAACATGCCCAATCAGGTTTTCAAGTTGTGATTGAGTTGCTCCTCGACACATGTGAGAGCTAAGTATTTTTGCGACTGCGAAATGACCTGCAGCTACGGCAAACTGCAGTGGGTAGGTTGGTATCGACTCAGATGGCCACTCCATCATAATCTGCTCGCGGGGGTCCATGTCCAGCTCCAGCATGGTTGATACAAGATCTACATCCCCAACCCTGACAGCAGTCGCAAAAACTCTTTCTTTGAGAGCGTCTAGAATAGGAGCCGGTAGAGCCTTCAAACTTTGCGAAACGTCTGTAAGAGGGAGCGCCTTCAGCAGTGCGTATGCGTCATTCAAATTTGTACGGCCGCCCGACGATACGTTGTTGACGAGTGAAGCAATTGCGTATAAGGGAATCATCGTATCGTGGCTTTCATATGTAGTATCCACGATCGACTGATGTTTTGAATGGAAGATCGCATCAAGCCGCATCTTGGAAGGCTTCGTCCACTTCACCAGCTGCTGGGAAGAAAAGAGGCTTTGTGAGATGGAGTCGAGATTGATTGAATGCGTCCAGGAAAATGGCAAGCTATACTCGGCAACAAGAGCGGGTCTGTTCAGGCTGAGGCCGTGTATGGAGGGCGAGGTAATCGTGAGTAGACCAAAGTCTGGTTGGGCTTGCATAGAAGAAGATGAGCTTGCTGCAGGGGCTGGTACGACTGAAAGGCCGTTCGCAGCGTCGATGGTTGGGGCGCGTGAGCGTGGTCGTACGGTGATATCCTTGGGAAGCCTGTGGGAACCTGTGTACTATGAGCATTAGATATCTAGATCCGAACGTGAACATACCATCGTATAGGGTGTTAGCGAGCGAGCTGCGCCGTGCTATCTCCTGCAAAACTCTATTCTGAGGGATCTCACGTCCTTTGAACAACACTTCGACTTGCTCAAGATCAATCGAGTTCTCCGTCAAATACCTGATGGTGGCTACCCATTCGGCCGTAGTCAGATTTTTCCGCAGTTCCCATTTGCGGAAGTGCCTTTCGTATTGTGACTTGCTTTGCGGTGTTAGGTTTCAGTGATATGTGATGCGGCAATAGAAGTACCTAGCGACAAAACCATAATGCTTCTTCATATGGGCATCGATCTTATCGAGTGACGTTTCCCAGTAAAGGCTCTCGATCGTTGTGCGATAGCGATTCCATATTGCTTCATCGAGTCTATCAGTCTTGACGACGTTGTTCATCTTGTGCTGCGAAGCTCGAGGCTGCAGAGAAGAGAGGAAGAAGTAGGGTAACGACCAGGCTGAAAGTTTTGGAACATGCCTAGATATGTGACCGGTCAAGCTTGGGTCTCATACCGTGCCTGACGCATACTGCGCCTGTCCGCCGCGTCTCGTGTGCACCAACGACACGACTTCATTTCCCTTGCCTCAGTCAGCCGCGTACCAGCCGACCAATCATGCAAAACCTGGCTGCATAGAGGTGCAGCGAGATTTTGTAAACGAGGCAATGACCCATGGCGGAACTGACCAATGGTGCAAAACCTGCGGGCGGCACAGAACACCAGCACATTGCGCAACAAAATCTTGGGCTTTGCGACGACCAAAAGTGACCCAACTCGGTTAAAGCGAGATTCTGTAAGATGACCTACCCTGTCAAGCCGGACTGGAAGGAGGCGGAGCCATGTTGCCCAATCATGCAAAACCTGCAAAAGTACCATTGCAGATTCTGTAGAGGCTTCAATAGCAGATTCTGCTTTTGAGCATATGATTAAAGACGGAATGGAAGTCGCGCTCTTCCTCGAAAGCGAATCCCTATCAAACGTCGCATCGCTCCTCACACTCTGCGTTGACCGTTATCAGTAGCCTCATACCAATTCTGCCATGTCTTCCTGGTCGGTTGAAGCAATCATAGCTTTTGTGACTCTACTAGCCACCTGCATCCCTCTTCTGGCATACTTCTTACGCAGATTCATGCCTCGTCGTCAGATCGCGCGCTCGGAAGTCGGTATGTTGGTTGCTCTTCAACGTTGTCCTAGCTCTGCCTCTGACAACTACCAGATGTTGAGCTTGGAGTCATGAACGAAGACCATGATCCTGCCGTTGTCCTTGGAGACTTTGGGATACGTAAAAGCCGTACACGGTAGGTGCTGGGGTGACACCGCAACATCTGGGCTCTGGTTGCTAACGTTCGCGTCAGTTCGATGACTTTGTAATGAGGTCGACACTCAACGCCGTCAACGCATAGCATGAGATGTCGTTATACTTGGGAGAGTGGCCGCATCCAATCTTCGTAACGTCCCATAGCGTTCCAGGGTTTCATCATAGTTGGCTATCGGCATGGAAGGAGTGGTGTCAGATCTGCTGTACGATTAATGCGCTGAGGGAAGTGAAGACATGACAGAGATATGGCGGCACATGAGCGTTGGTCGGGTGACGGTATAGCAACAATGGAGTCTTATATCGCCTCATCCAGCATCAAGCGCCAGGTGTATTCGCCCCATAAACTTCATTGGACTCTTCTTGCAAACTCCAAACGCCCAAGCTCAATTGCAGGATGTGCTCTGAAGCAACCCTATAAGCAACGCGGGAATGGCCTGACGAGGCATGGTATCCAATTCACAAGCTTTATTCAACTCCAATTCCAGCGGTAATGTCGCTGTTCCTCAAAGGAAGTAGTCCGCTACTGGCTTCTTCGCCGGCATGCCTCGCGAGTCCTGGGGAGCAGCTTCAAAGACCCGGTACCGCCGTCCTGGACCGTCCCTATTCTTCTGATAAGTGTCGTTGAGTACGGAACTCAGTCGTCTCTCGCCGTTCGGTCCAGCGTTCGAGCCTAGGACCCAGCCTCCACCACCACCTGCTCTGTCTCCGTTCGATCTCCTTTGGAAACCAGCGTTTGATCCATCCTCGCCAAGTTCCAAGATGGCGGCTACGTTGCCGCAACGGTAGCAGTAGTTTGGCGCTGACCAGACAGTGACGATTGTTGAGTCAAACATCTCCTTAAAACCTTCCATAACCAATTGATGTGCTCTTGCGATGAGACTGAGGTCGTTCTTATGGTTGAACGTCTTGACAATATCGGCTCCAAATAGGAAGCCTGCACCACGCGGCGACAGGCCCCACCCGTCAATCTCATCGGGATCGGACCAGAGGAGATCACACATAGCTCCTTCGTGTGGCACTTCTTGCTTTCGGTCCAAAAGCCGGATCTTATCCACAGAGTCGACGAGCGGTGACAGCCCTCCGTGTACGCATAAGATCGCTCCGGTATCGTTCCGAGCTGAGCCGTTGGCAGACGAAGTTGCACCCGTTCCTGCAGGGCCAACTCTTCCAGGTGTTGGGGCGACGGGGGACGAGGACCCCATGTTTGCGCTTACTTGCGAGGCGGCGCTTGACTGAGAGTCTGAGTTGCGTGCGTAGCGGTACATAACCTCGCCGTTCGCGTTGAGCGTTTCAATCTCGATATCTTGGTCGATGTCGGGCATGTTCTCTGCGTTGCTGGACTCGGCTATGGGGCCATCGGTGGCTTGGAGCGATGTTGCGGCGCCTTGCACGAGAGCACCGAGGGCTAGGTAATCAAAGACTTCGCAGCAATATCTGCCAATGTTAGTGTTGACTCTACAGCCAGAGTGCGGGAATGCGAGCTACCTCCAGACGTTTGCGCTGCCGTATTTCCGTAAGCACTCATCGTAAAACCCGTATACAGTCGTAATCTGGCGAGACTCATGGTTGCCTCTGATGAGCGTTATTCGGTCTGGGTAACGAACTTTGAGGCATAGGAGCAGGAGGAAAGATTCGAGCGAGTAGAAACCGCGGTCAACGAAGTCGCCTGCATACAGTCAGTGCGGAGCAGCATGGCGGGATTCGGTTGGCTTACCCATAAAGAGGTAGTTCGTGTCCGGTACGTCTCCACCGACCCGGAAGAGCTCCATCAGGTCGTGAAATTGGCCATGAATATCACCACATATCTAGCAACGCCACGCGATTAGCTATGCCCAAGTGTTGACCTAATATAGTGCCTACCGTTACTGGCGCATCCACCCCAACCACGTTGCCTTCCTCGATCAACAGCTCGCGTGCCTTGTAACATAGCTCTCGGACTTGGTTCTCGGGTATCGGACGACATGCGCGAAGCTGCTGGATAGCTCTGCGATCGGTGTCAGCCCCATATATCGTACGTATGCTAGTCGGCTGAGTGGCTATCCATACTTGTCGAGGTCGCTACCACCGGCGCTCATGGCGACGGCTATGCGCTATACGCCCGCGCAGGGCTTTCGGGACGTATAGAGTCTTCGGTTGGCAATTGCGTGCGTAATGCGTCTGCAGCTATGCGAGCTGTTCGCGACGGAAGATTCTGGTGGGCGCGAACAGTACGGAGGGTGGCGGTGCGCGTGTGGCGCGTTACAGATGCAGTGAATGCGCGGGTCTCGTGACTATGTGATAGTTGTATAGGACTATTAAGCTGAAGATAGCGAATGTTGAAGGGCGGGAGCTCTGTGGTAGGTGAACAAGTCAAGGTGGTGGGCTGGTGGAGGTCGAGGGCCAGAGATCCACAGCGGGCATGCGAATTCGCAGGGATGTCGGTCCAAGCCCGTCCAGCTAGCTCCGCCGTCCATGTTCACTACACCAGAACACCATCACCACCGCCAACCCCGCTCCCCCGCCGTCTACATCTGCTCGAGGCATCTCAATTGGCACAGTATGCTCTGAGCGACTATCGCAGTTCCAACCACCAGCTGTTAACGACTCTCTAGGCCCAGTGATGCCTCCGCAATTCGCTCTCTAATTTCTCAACCCACACACACAACATGCCTCCGCACCTCCACCCGCGGTCGCGCATGACGACTTCGCTCTTTGGAACGACGCTCATGGTCTCATTCCTCGTCGTCGCCGCTCCACATCTGATACCCTGCCCGGTCGACCCTCGCACACTCGCCGATTCCGCAGACCCCACAGGAGAGAACAGGCGGAGACGGCGGCGGAGAGTGCCGGAAGACGAGAGTTGCAATGGCGTCATGAGCGAGGAGCGGAGGAGACAGCGCTTGATTGAAGAGAAATTGGCGGCGAAGAGGGAATGCCCAGTGCCCAAGCCTGGTGGTCTGATTGGGCAGGTGCTGGGTGTACAAGACGACGAGGGCAAAGAAGAGCAACAACTGACCATCTTGCAACGAGTCGAGAAGATGGTGTGCAAGCCCCGGGGAAAGAACGACAATCAATAACAGGAGGCCTGGGAGAAGATCCAACAAACAAACGTACCACGGCTGCATGCGCCCACAGACCTGGGATAAGACAGCCACGCCAGTGCAAAAAATGCACCCACCCACCTGTACATATACCGCGATATTAGAAAGGATTGCATTAGACTGTATATAAGCAGGACCAAGTCCTGGTCGAACACCCCAATACCTACTCCTCTGTGTGTCTATCATAGCGCTTTCCTGTAACTCGTGAGGAAGCAGAAGGACGTGCCTCAAGAGAGTTTATCACTGTGTTCTGGTGCGTGCAGCGAGACCCTGACGCGTGTTGGGTAGTGCAAGGCAAAGCAACGTGCAACGTACTCGCGCGTTGCGTAGCGTGAACCCACTACGTCATAAACCCTCGCCAGCCACCTCCTTTGGCTGCCACCGCTTCTGACCTGAACACCAGCATCCAAGAAAGTAGTCAATGATCAGGAACGCGATCAAGATGCCTTCGGAACCTCTGACAAAAGCCCAGCGGATGAGCTATCGCATCGGTCGCGGCGAACAAGGTGTACTAACATTCGAGCCTTACAAGTCCGAGATCCTCCCTTTATGGCGTTTCAAAACACCTGCTATCGCACAAAAGTCCTCGTCTGAAATCTACGCCAAGTTTCTGGAGTACGACAAGAAGGATGACTTCGTTGGCATGGACATGTCCCGCAAGTTCTTGCAGATGGGAATGACCAGGGCAAAGAGATATGCAAACCATGCTGGAGGAAGAAAGTACGACAAGAAGACCGGAGAGCAACTAGAGAGAAGCAAGGGCCACGAAGGGCAAGATGAGAAACTGGAGGCTAGCATCATCTTTAGGGAGGTTTGGGAGAAGGCCAAGCTGCACGAGGGCTATGTGGACAAGAAGGAGAGGTTCATGAAGGAGCAAAAAGAGTGGGATAAAGAAAAGAAGAAGGAGGCCAAAAAGTGAGGGACTAAAGCGATGCCGACCTACCACCAAAACGGCACGCACTACACCCACCAACGAAGCAAAAGAGAGGATGAGCACTCTAAGACTCGAACTTAGATCTCTCGTTCCACCCGCATCTGCGTCAGAATTGCACCAACTATAAACAGAGTGGACCTAGAACAATATCAACAGTCCAAGGCACGATTGAGTGCCCGCTCCTAAGAAGGTCTACGGAAGTTTAGCACGAGCGTCATACCATTAGACCAAATGCTCCTTGGTCTGTTACCAGATGACGGAATGAACAGTCTGATGTATAAAGACCGAGGACTATTGGTATAGAAAGTTTCGGACGAGTCTCAGCGCCTAGATGAATTGAGAACATCACTTCGGATGCGCACCTTTACCTGGCAGATGGCGGTCGACTTGGAACACTTCACGCTTTGGTGCATATGGATAAAGTGGGCGACTCCGCAAGCAAGCAACAAAATCATAAGAGACATATCCACCCAGTCTACACGACTAGCATCAAGAATATTGTCACCTACCATCACCACCCAGACCTTCCCCACAGGCTAGAGGAGAAATCAGTGGTCGCACAATTGTATCAAGCACACTTAAATGCGAAAAAGATACCCAAGACACTTAGCCCGCATTCCAAACGATCAAGGACGCTAAAATCATCGGGCTCTATGCGGATCGAACGCACGTCTCTCGAAAGCTGCATCATCTAGTCTGCTACAGTTTGAAGGGAGATTTCACTCTACCCTGGGGCCGATGGTCGAATCCATGGCGTGTGCCCGGTTTCTTTACCCCTACTGACACGGTTAAGTGCCAGGCCTGTATACCTCCAGCGTTGCATCCGAGTGTCTTACCACTGGACCAAGAGCCCTCGTTGAGTTGATGGGAGGTGCGGGAGGGTACGCAATCTTATTGAACTGGGTCATACTGAGGCAAACGAGGGATGGGAGAGTTCACGGACTTACGTTCAGGTCTACGTGGAACAAAGTGCGGCAGTATCGAACATCAGACAATACAGCAGCAGACGTATGTAAGCGATATATTGACCTGAGACATCAATCGGATAGGCCTTCCAAAGTCAAAATTTCATATCTTTCCATCTCTTGGTACGACAAAATCCTGCTTCTTCCCTGCTATCGGATGAGGCCGACGCGCTGTTGGATCGGCCTCCTCTGTTCATCCGCTCTTCTCACTACTTTAGGTATCCTGCATAACCCTCCGCTCCACCTGCGGTATCTCAAAATTCGGATTCGCGCTCATCTCCCCCTCCTCTTTCGCATACGTCTTCTCCACATCCCACATAATCAACCCACCCTTCTCGGACAACTTAATCGCTTGCCCCCTATCCTCCATACTCATACTGCACACATCCTTATGCACAGCCCAATCCCCCTTCTGACAAACATCCGAACAGTACGTGGACGTCCCACACCTTCCACAACGCTGTAACGCAACACCCGTCTTTTTGCAAGCCGTACACCTCGAAAGATCGAGAGAAGAATACATCCAATGCGGACTCATCGGAATACCATCACCCCAAACATCCATGGGCGCATACTCCACAAAGAACCGATGCTTCATCTTCTTCCCCGTCTCCCACCTCTTCTCCCTCACAATCTTTTCCACAAACTCTTTACCCAGCTTCTCAATCTCCTCTGGATCTGTGACGTCTTCCTCGCCCAACATACTCTCTTTGGGATTCGGTATCCACTTCCCTCTGTCTTCACCTTCTAGAACAATGTTGTAGGTAAGCATCAACGTCCAATTATCGCCGCTGCTATCCAGACTGCCGAAAGTAATTTGGTTGCCTATGCGCCCGATTTCGATTTTCGATCCTTCGGGTGTGCCTTCGGCGATGCTTAGGGTCCATGTTAAGGAGAACCAGGCATCTAGATCTAGGAAGGCTGCAAGTGCGTTTGGATGCCATTTGTATAAGACTGTTGCTAGACCGATTGCTGGGGTAATGCTTTCGCCAGTGGTCTCGGGAGTGAGACTGGAAGGATCGATGATGCTGAGAGGGGAGCCATTGAGATTTAATGCAGCTTTTGAGTGGTCTGGTAGTCTGAAATCGGATAGTGGAATAAGTTGAGAGTCCATGGCGTGATGTGTGTTGTGCTGCATTGAGCGAGCGAATTGGAAAGTGCAAAGAGTGTGTAAGTGGGGCCCCCGCTTGGATTTTGATTGGTCCTACTAGGAAGGTGAGGGTGAGCCTCCGTCAACAAAAGAATTGACTGGGAAGGAATCATTTACGAAGCGAGACATTTGTATCACTGGTAAACATCAAATTTTCAGACTACTCCTTTGATTCATGCATGAAGCTATAGGCCCGGTTATCGTTTACGTTCAATATCTAGCTTCCATGCTCTTAGTTGCCTCCGTATCCTTGAAGCGGGTGTGGCTTAGGGCCTTGCAGTATTGGTACGCTCTCCAGAGGTCCAGCATACGCCAGGAGACCAACGTCGGAACTGGTCATGTTGTTCTTGTACTTGTTACCAATAAACTCGAACAGGAAGTTCATTGGGAAGCCAATCTCGAAAGGAACAGCGGAATCAATGTCATCAATCTCTTCCTCGCTCAACTCGATTGCCAACGCCTCGATGTTACCGTTAAGATGGTCGATCTTGCGGCCGCCAACGATTGGGTACACGAAGGGGTACTTGTGGCGTACATAGGCCAGGGCGATGCTGGTGACCTGTGTCTTCTTTTGGTCGGCGATGGCTTCGAGCTTCTTGGAGATTTCGATGTGCTTCTCGGAAGCTGGGCCAGTGTTACGACCTTGCTCGTTGTTCTTGCGCTTCTCTTCGGTGGTGAAGTTGCCGCCACCAAGGGCACCCCACGGGCACAGAGCCATGCCTTCTTCGCGTGCCATCGGGATGATCTCACGCTCGAAGTCACGATCGGCTGCGGACCAGCGGCCTTGGTAGACACTGAAGCCACGGAGGCCGTGGTTGCGGGCATCTGAATTTCTCGTTAGTTACGGATACGAAGTCTTGCCAAATATCTATACTTACATTCATTCGCTTTGCTGACAACCCAGGCAGGCGTGTCGCTGATTCCGAGGTATAGAACATTTCCAGAG